ATCAAGAACAGTTCCCATCCCTCTGGGACGTTTCCCTCCCTCTGCATGGCAAACTTCGGTCTTTTGCGAGAATCGCTTACTCCCACCTCGGGGTGGGAGTGGACATATGCAGCCACCAAACTGACACCTGCCTCCCCTTCGCTGCCTTAGTCTCGGGCAACGAAGTGCAAGACGCTGGCTGGGCAGATGCCCGGAACCTTCCCTGGCCCCCGGATTTTCTCATCCCTAGCGGGGGTTCCTTTGCGTGGCTCTCCAGAGACTAGAGACTCGTGCAGTGCACGCGTAAGGGCCTGGCAAAGCACGCCTGCCTTCCGACGCTGGACCCCTCACTGATATGTGCGGTGCGCGATTCCCACCTATTGGGTCAAATGGCGCCTTCCTTCTGACCCCGAATGCGTAGACCTTTCGGCCATGATCTGCCTGCATCCGTGCCATCGACGGTGCATGGACGGAACGGCTCCACGCGCGGGCGGAATTACAGAAGCTGGCCCAGGTCTGGTGCGAGCAGGCGAGCACCCAAGCCTCCAATCAGGTTCTGCCCTTTTTTGTGTGCTAGCGGTCCGGGCACCCCCCGTCACGTAAGCCCTGCAATGCAACCCTCGTGGATGCGCTACGGTGCTTGTTGAACTTGAGCTTTCCAGCCTTTGCGAGCACCAATGCCCTATGTGAGGCAGCTGCCACCTGGCGGCGTTCTACTGCCCTGCCTCCTGCCCCGCCCCCTACATCATTGCAGCGCTGGCCAATCCTTTCTGGTATCGATGGCAGCAGCGCGTCCTCCGCCTCCTCTGAGCTCGGGTTGCCGGTGTGTTTTGCCACGTCAACTGGTCCGTGCAATATGCCGGTTATCAGTGGAGGCGCTTGAGGCCTTCGAATCTCAGGATGCTGAGAGTTTCGCTACCTTGCACCACAGAGAGCAGTGAGCTAGACCAGCCGCAGTAGCAAACCGTTCCAGCCAGCACTGCTTGTTTGCCAACACCATGCACTGGGGCTACGCTTCATTCGCGCAGCCTACCTGCAACGAGTGGAGGCGTGGGCCAAGCTCGCCGCTGCTTCCATCCCAGCGGCCCCCGCTATAGCTCCTGCATTGCCGGCGCAGGATCCGCCAGGTCAGCTCGACTTGGCTTCTTGGCTATCTTCCCCAGATGCCATCCCCCTTGTGCGGGAGTTACGCTGGGCCTTGCTCCCCCTGTCCGCGGTGCGTCTACGCGCTGCCCACCCGTGTGGACGCGCTAGCGATAACACCTTCCTAAACGTGCTGCACCAAGCAGGGGTGCCCACTGCTCGCTCGTCCCTCCCGTGCTGGGGTGCTTCTGGCCCAACCTGGGACCAACTCACTGGTCCCTGGTGTCGCACTCTCTCTGGCACCATATGCCACTCCTGTCAGCAGTCCTTGCATTTCCGAGGCCAGTGTCGCTGGAACCGAGGGGCCCATGTCGGGTACAGTGTGCAACAGGCCGACCAAGTGCACCTTCGTCCTGATTGTTTCTGGTCCTGGTCCCAAGCACTCGTGGCACCCCCCGTGCAATACCCTTTGCGTTTTGAAGACTCGGGCCCATGTGACAGAGCTCAGTGACCCTTGGCACTCCTTACGCCCGACGACTGGCGTGAGGCTGTACTCCGCCTCCCCTCCCCACGCCTCCCCTCCACCCCCTCTCTTCCCTCCTCTCCCTGCATCTTGGCCTGCAATATGCTAGACTCCCCCTCTCGAACCTTCCACGGAGGGCGGCCATGACGTTTTCGGAGCTGCCCTGCGATGTGGTGGGGGAAGAGCGCGCGCGGCTGCAGCTACTGCTGCCTGCCACTTCCACAAACACAAGAACAAGAAAAACAAAATCCGAAATTGACAAAAAACACCAACAACGTCAACATCACAAGAGCAAACAATGTTTTGGAAGTCCTCCGGGAATCCCGTAATCCAGGACTTTTGACCATGACGTTCCGACGTGTTCTTGATCCTTTTGGTTTTTTTGAGATTGTTTCTTGTTGTTTACTACGTTTTCTTGGTTCCCAGTACTTGCGGTGAGCTTTTAAATAATCTAATACATGTGCTTTCTGGGGCTTGGTGCTGTTTCATGTGATTTTCTTGGTGGAGTCCAATAGGGCATGGTTCTTGTTCATTGTAGTTTCTTCTGTGATACTTCGGACAGGTCTTGCTTTCGTGAGACAGGCAAGAACACAGCGGACAGGTTGTAGCCCCAAGCCTGGTTTGCCTGTCATTGCTTGCACAGGCATACCTTCACCGGAACCAGTCCCTTGTTCAGCCGCCGCAGAAGCAAGAAATGGCATCCTTGCTTCCAGCTTTTCTGTACCGTGAACTGTGCAGAGAAGCGCTTTCGCCGGTCATTGCGAAACACGACTTCTTCTCTGGCCTCCAATCCCGCTATGCTTCCTTCCATATGGACCTTTGCGTGGAATGCCTCAACGAATGGCACTTAGCCACGGAAGAGATTTTGTTTTCCAATGGCCCACGGTGTCAGAGCATGATGTTCGTCGCCAATGGGGAGGTGGCCTACCGCAAGCTCCCCCCGGAATATGCAACTTCACCTGTGAGTGCCCGGAATGAGTTCCTGCAGCATGTCAAAGGAATGAGTTTTGTGGTGCCAACAGCAGCATCTGCGACGATCGTCGAGGAGAAGCTCGGTTTTGGGGACTGGATGTGTGAGCAGTGCTGCTTGCCTCCATTGATTTCCGGGCTTCCTGATCGCGGCTTTGCTGCAGTGTGCAATTCGCCCAGGTCTGTGGACGGAGTGGCATTTTCTTGGCAGGGCCGTCTCGACACAAGGAGCACAGGGAACTGGAAGGGGTGATGTAACTTTGCCATGCCTTCTGTGGTCTTTCGGCTTCTTCGCTCGTTTGAATGTCGAGATCACATCCGTGGCTTCTAGCTGACAGGGTCAGGTATCCCGGGCTCACCTGCATTTGTCGTGTCAGCAGAGGCATTGGGAAGGTGGGGTGATTCAGGATCAATCGTTCCAGCCTTTGTTGAGAGCGCAGGTGGGCACGGATGGGGTCGATGCGATTCATGAGCGAATACAAATTTTCGCCCGGATGACCCAAAGATTGCTTGACTGAGTTGTCCTTGCTAGAACTAATGTCCTTTTCAGCTTGCGATTCACGAGTGTGCCCCGAGTGACAGGAGCCACGGTTCTGTGTCTTGCTGACGAGACACTCATGCGATATGCTGGTCTTCACAAAGAGGTGATGGCCGAACTTCTCATTTACTGCAGGCCTTGAGACATGCTGCCATGTTGCAGTTTGGAGGTTCATGACAGGTAAGCCTGGAACCCGGCTGCCTTGAGTTTCAGGTGTCAGCTCTGATGATTGTGTGGCATGCAGCATCTGTCTAATTGCACCAGATGTCGTCGTAGCTCATAGAGATCCAGACTAGAAGCTGGCTCTGTCCGCGATCAGCATTTCATCTCGTTATGTCAGTGTTGGCTTTGACAGGATATTCGTCGAAGTCTTGAACGGCGTGGCAGATGACGACTTGACAGATCTCCCTATTTCCATGGAGGATGTCCGGCGGCGCCCAGTCGGTCCGCCTTGAAGGTGGTCGGAAACGCCTGCTGTGACTCTTACCGGGACCGGAGACCCCGCCCTTTGAAACGGAAGTCGCGTAGCTCGGAAGAGCATTAGGGTCAGGGGTGCCGATGCGCGTCGGGGACTGGGGGAATTCCGCCGAACTGATTTGCAGGTTTATGTTTCTCGTGGTTGTCTGGGTCGATGTTGCCGAAACCACCATGAAAAGGCTGGCTAGCCCGCCACAGAGGAACTGCTGCATGTCGTAGCCGGGTAAAACTGCCCGTGCTGTTTTCCAGGCTGTGTCGATAGACGCTATGCCAGACATGTGAGCATCCGTCAAAATTTCCGCAACTGTAGTTAAGAGAAGGGTGGTCTGGCCTTGGAATGACGGATTTGGCCAAAACCCTCGAAAGCGACACGATAAACGAAAAGAATTTTCCGTGTGATATGTGGCCGGGCAACAGATACCCCACTATCAGATCGCTCCATGAGCCACTGTCCAGTCTGGCGGAAGCATCGTTGCTGTGTTGCTGTCGCTACCATCACTACTAATACCACGACTAAAGTAGTAGCAGTAGTAGTATATTACTATTGCAAATTATTACTATTGCAAATAGGACTCCATAATAGGACTATTAAGTATTGCTACTTTTGCTTTACTCGTTGTACTATACCCCACAGACAAATTTTACCAGATACCTGTAAAGCAATAGGACCTCCCCCAAATCATCCATGACCAGGCCTGAAACAAGAAGTCTTGACAAGCGCTCATGTGATGCTCCATCCCAGTGTGGCAGACTCAGGGCGCCCCTATGCGGGAGGCCGGCCCCACGGGGACACTCACTCTTTGAATATCATTTCTCAAAACTTCTGGCTAGCCACTGCGAGACGCTACGCAGCCTCTATTGGGGGCTAACATGTAGATCGTCAAATGGATATTGCTCTGTTGCTCCGCTCTACTGTGCTCGGCTTGACTAGCTGGCTGTATACCCAGGACGAAGGGTTCATGGTTGTACGTGTTTGCACTCGCTTGAAGCGATGCTGGTAATCTAAAATTGTTGTAAAATTGTCCACAGCTCGACTGTCATAACGTGTTGTCGCAAGCAACACCATTTTTTCATCCGTGGCTTCGATGCCGTCTCTGCCTGAGACTGACTCCTTTCTAACCGCCCTGGCGAGGGAAGAAAGATGGAGTCGTCGAACCTGTCAGGAACTGCTGCCTGCGGGGGCAGCGGGGTTGTTCATGGTTGTTCTGAAGTATATAATTAGGTTTCCGGGCCTCTTCTAGCACGAGACTGTTCTGATTTGGACCCAGGTTCTGCAGAGACAGCTCCCAACTGGCCGAGCCAGCCTACCAAATTATTTTTGAAACAACGACTCAAGAGCAGCAGTCGCAAAAGGCACCCGACATGCGCCAGTCCTCCTGACAGGATGCCCTGTAGCACAGCTGCAAGACCCGCTATACGCATTGCATGCAGGTGAAGATCATTTCTGACGCATCCCTGAATCCGTCGAACGTCATAATTGTGGACGACATGTGCCTGCCTTGGGCATGCTGACACTGCATATTCCCCCTGTCCGGATGCGAGACGAAGCACAAGCCCTGCCCTGAAAGGTGCAGCAGATGCGTTGAAGCTAAGTCTCCGAGTCTTTGTAGGGATGCCCGTGCTTTGGTAACACGCTCGAAAGGCAGGACAAGCCACTGAAACTTTGAGTCCTGGTAAGTCTTACGCCAGCATTGGGCCAACAGCATCTGGAGTTGAGTCGCCCGGAGGTGGTGATTGCTTAGAACCAAGCGACGGCGGTTTGAAAGTGCTAAATCCGAGCGAACGCCTACGGAAGTCGGGGAGTAGCTGTTCTTCACGCTCCGTCAATGCAATGGGTTTTCACACGACCGATCCCTTCTCCATACTCGGGTGATCAAGCCTTCTTTCGAACAGTCAGCAGCCACTGCTTTCGGGTGGATGGTGACAGGAAATTACCAGTAGTAAGTACAGAAGTTGTCTCGACGCCAGAGTCACGCCAATGTCGGCATTTAGAGAGCTGTAGTCCTACAGTTGTAGACTGTAGAGGAACCAGTGTCTGCAAAGGACGATCGGACGGTAAGTTCCATTGCGGACGCGAGGGGCGACTGCACTCCGAGTACTCGCGCATACGCTCGAGTATGCTCGAGTATGCCCGAGTATGCTCGGGTATGCTCGAATGCGCTCGAGTACGCTCGAGTACGCTCGAGTATGCTCGAGTACGCTCGAGTGCGTTCGAGTATGCTCGAGTATGCTCGAGTACGCTCGAGTGTATGCTCCAATATGCTAGAGTACGCCGGAGTAGCACTACAATGCATAGCAGCAGTCTACAGTATCTCATGTACTATAGACTCTATAGTTGCTATAATACTCGTGCATACCTGCACATACTCGCTCGTACCTATACAATACTCGCGCATGCACGTGCATCCTCGCACATACCCGCGCATACCCGCGCAATCCCGCACATACCTGCGCATACTCGCGCATACTCGGGCATACCCGTGCATACTCCCGGGACCACAATCTGCAGTCGCGCTTTCCCGCCACAGTGGTAAGTTCGATGTGTGAGACACAACCGACTTCACAGCTAACGCTGGAATTCCGTTTTCCGGAGCGTGCTGAAGAGAACGCCGTACAACCCCTTCTCCTTGTGCCTTGGTGACCCAGCTCCAAGAATCAGCACACGTTGCGATTAGGCTCTACAGGTCTTGCACATGATGAGTTCTCCCCCAGCCCAGAGCGAAGCACCCAACTGGAAGGTTTGACACCTGCGGCAGTTTGGTGAAAGTCGTTGAAGCGGTCCGGCACTTTGCGCCGGAGGCTGGAATGTAGTTGGGATGATGGCTGCACAGCAGGTAGTCCCTTCTGATAGTAAGTTGAGACATGCATGGGATGACAACATCGTCAGGGTTGTGCCAAAGCATCGTTTTGTTGAGGTTGCATGGTTTGCTTAACATGACAATGTGAAAGAGGTTTTTTTAACGTTCAGCGGTGCAGGGGAGCGCACGCCGCCATGTTGAAGAATAACCCTGGCATTCCGTGCCTGTTGGTGTTGAAGGCTGACTGATGCACACAGTCTCGGACAGGCTCGGATCTACGCTGTGGGCACTCATGGTTACTTCTCCAAGGTGCAGCTCTTGCATCAGGGCAGGAGGTGAGTGGAGGGGATTCTTAGGTCGGGACTCAGTGTGCCTCCATGTCAGCAGAGGTCAAGTATCGTTGTGACGAGAGCGCTGTTGCAGGGGTCAGTCAGTTGTGACAGGAGAAGCGGATCTGAAGGCTGATAAGATCTCCGGGCTGCATCCAGCACTCGTAACTACACGGGAGTTGCACAGGATGCCAGCGAGCGAGTCGCGAAAATGATCACCGACCTCGGTTTGGAGGCTACAGCGAACCACACCGAATCTTCAGCTACGGATGTTTTTCGTGCAGAGCTTTGCGACTTAGACGGCTTTGACATGTCGAGACGATACCCCAAGCAAATGCAAGCGTACGATTCCACTCTGTCAGTGGATCGCGGTCACCAACTGCATCTCCCAGAGAATGTCCGCGGCTTAGCTGCGCCGAGCGGCCGGTAGCGCGGAGCTCGAGTGCTGTGGCGCTTCCTCCTTGTTCTAGGGTCAAAAACGATGCCCGGGGGGGGGGCTCCTCAACTCGAGGCCGCTGCAGAAGTTCCAGAAGCTCGGAATTGGAGACAGGCAGGAAGAGACTGTGAGTACTTTACGTTTTTCCTACTTTTACCGGCCGCGAGGCTAAAGGTTGTGGATGTCTCCAGGTTGGCCCTATGCTTGGATCGAAACTTCTGCGTAGCTGCATGAGTGAATGGCAAGCTTCGACCAGGGAGAATCGGGGAATCACTGTCATCACGTTAGTTTGTGCCCAAGTCTTTGCCTGAAGTACCGAGGTTGCTGGAGCCATCATTCGGATTCACCTGGGAGCCAGCGTGAACCTGCCCAAGTTCCGACAGCTTGGGTTCGTGCCTCAGTACATGTGACAGCAGAATTGTTTGGGCTTCCCTTGCGCCATGACGGCACACTTCGGGAGCAAACTCTAGCACGAGCCGATTGCTTGTGATGAATCAGCTGCCATCCGGCAGGTCCTCGTGTGTGGGACGATCCGTGATGTTGGTGGCCGTTTGTGGATCTGGCATCACGGCAGAGTGATTTAGACTGAGCAGAGCCCTCCGCCATGGCTTTCGCGAGAGCGGCGCGCTTTCCGGTCCGGGTCCCCGGCCGGGACTTTTCTACACCCGGGCCGGGGACGTACAGCCCGAGGGCCAGCTGCGGGCTTCCTCGGGTCTTGGTCTACACATTCGGCCAGCCATCTCCCCCAAAACCACGACCACTTCCCAAAGCCAAGGCGGTGGCGATAGTCAACGATGCACAACGGCAACGGACAACGCAACTGGACTGTGGTGGCACGACACCACGACTTCAGCAGGACGAGGCGCTGCCAAGTGTCGACGTTGCGCAGCTGGCACTGACAGCGCAACTGGGCCGTGGTGGACTTGGCACGGTCGTCACGGGAGTTTTTCGTGGCAAGGCTATTGCCGTTAAGTATTACTTAACGGCAATGGCCTTGCCTCGAAAAACTCCCGTGACACCTCCTATCGAACCCGGCGGAGGATCGCCGGGCGTTGCATACAGAGGCAATGCTCCTAAGTCGAATCGACCATCCGAATGTGGTCACGGTTTTTTGTGTCGTAGCTGACAACGGAAATACGACCGGCTTTGGCATGGAAATCTTAGGGAAAAGCCTCCAAGAGGCTCATGACAAAGGAGAACTGAATGGACGTGTCCTTGCCGAGGCCTTTAGTCCGACGTGCCAGGGTGTGGCACACATCCATGGCCTGTTGGTAGCGCACAGGAGCTGAAGCAGGCTGATGAGGTTTTGGATCGACTTCCGGGAAATT